CATAATCTCAATACCATCAAGCCACTTAAGAAAATTAATAATAATTCCAAAATCTCATATAACATCCAATCCATATTCAGAATTTCCCAATTGTTCCAAGAGTGTATTAGAGGCATTTTTTTTCTTTTTTAACCAGCATCCCGTCAAGGCTTGCATATTGCCTTTAGTTGTTGTCTCTTTATTTATTTTAATATAGAATAGTTCCCTAGCTTTTAAAAATGACATTCATCTAAGTGTCCAGGCCAGTTTTCTTGTAGAGTGTCTCATATTCTCAGTTTATTTGTTTCCCCATGTTGTGGTTTAAATCTCACTATCCTACTCCCCTCTGTCTTCTTAGACTGGAAGGTAGGTCTAGAGCAAAGGTACTTAACTCAGTTCACATACTCTGTAGGGTCTGTGAATAGAATACAGGGAGTCGGAACTTTGGATGGGGAAAAAATTACATCTTTATTTTAACTCAGTGGTTCTCAACTGAGGTGATTTTTGTCCTCTCTCCTCTCTTCCCCCACATAGGGACGTTTGGCTTTGCCTGAAGACATTTTTGGTTATCACAACTGGGTGCAAGGCTGCTATTGGCATCAAGTGGATAGAGGCTAAGGATGCATCTAAGGATCCTACAATGTACAAGGAGAGAATTATCTAGATCAGAATGTCAATGTCAGTGGTGCCATGGTTGAGCAGCCATACCCTAACTGAATTTTAGCATTTCCTTTAATTGTGAATGCAAGAAACCTTTCACAGGGGTATTAGCACTACCTGTAACTTTGTCACCAAGAGAAATTTCAGATGTTTTCATATCATATTAAATTTATCTCAAAATATTTATGCTCATTTATTGCTTAGAAATTAGGATAAATTTGAATAATCAAGCAAAAATATTACTGTATTAAAATTTAAGCAGATAGCTTGACAGCTATATTTCAGTATAATTGTCCATTGTAATCTTATGTATTTTATGCATTATAAACATTATTCTGGCAAAGGTTCTGTAGACTTTACCAGACTGCCAAAGGAATCCACAGGACAAAAGGCTTAACCCTTGGTCTAGATGCTTGATTAGATTGGGTTAAACATTTTTGGTGAGAATGCTTCATAGGCGATGATGTTTATTTCATATTGTTATTTCATGAATCACATAATATCAAGTTGTCTTATTATTCTGAATGATGCCAAATTTGATGACTTAGTTAATTAAGGTGGTGACAGCCAGATCTTTCCATTTTAGAGATACATTTTCCCCTTTGCCTTGCAAAGTAGTCTGTGAGGTAATACTTTGGCACTAGGTGAATTTTCTGTTTCTGAACAGCCTTTCACCTAATAGCTTTAGCATATATTGATGATTTTTGCCTAAATTGATTTTTACATTGGGGGTTACAAAATGGTGATTTTCTATTTCAGTCATTCACATTTACTGGCATTCTTCTATAAATAAGAGATTTCCTTTCCCTTCTCCCACTCCACACCCTTTTCCTCATCCCCCTGCACTCAACTTGTCCTAAATGTGGTCAGTGGGAGCCCTTTAACTTGGTCCTTGGTCCTTTTGATAGATCCTACTGGTCTTAGAGCATTTCCTTGCTTTCTGACACAAGTGTTCTCATGATCAAATTGTTCTTTCTGTGCTTCAGGTTTGGAGTCAACTATTTCTTTAAAGAGCCATTGTTTCTTTGTGGGGAATGGTATTTAGAAACCAGGGTCTGAGCACTTGGTGTGCTCATTGCTTCTGGAGTGACAGTGCTTCTAGGCCTTTTAAATAGAAGCTCTTAACTAAACTTTTAGCATAAAAAGATATTTTGAGCTACAAGAAAGAAGAATCAAATGTTTCTGATTTACACATCCTTGCAGTTTTTATCTTTTGGAACGAATGAGTCTGTTTATTCCTTTCTTCATCAGCCCAGACCCATGCTTCTATCTACTCACTCAAGGATTATTGGCAGTTGTCTAACTAATGTTTCTCTCTTCTGATCTGTTCTACGTACTACCCATTTCATTCATCTGTAGAATATTTATAATATATTTTCTGTGTGCCAGGAACTGTTAGGCATATAGAATACACAGGAAAATGGAAACATCAAGAAGTTCACAGTCTAATAGGAAAGACCTGTATGAAAACCAAAATTTCAGTATGATTGGTACAAAAATAGAAATAAACAGCGACTAAGTGTAAGAGACCAAAGACGACTTCAAGAGAAAATATTTGAGTATGGTAATGATATAATTATGAGAAGGTTACCATGTGAAGAAGGGTGGATCTATTTATAGATTCTCATTATTGGTGACCACTGGTCAAATGCCCAATTTGTATCTAGATGGTAGTTACAAGTGGAAGTGTTAAAAATCGGGGTTTGCCTACATTTAGTGCTGAGAGCTTTCCTTTTTCCTGTATTCTGTTTTTTTGTTTGTTTTCTTTTTTTTCTGGATAGACAAACTATTCTTCACTTACACTAAAACTTTCTTATGAAAGATTATTTCTTTGTTGAAATTGTTTGGTTTAGAGGCCATGTAGATTTGCTTATTTGTTTGTACATCCATGCTTTGTGAATAAATCTGCCATGTTTTATTACCAATGATTGCACTTACCAAGTATCTGCATCATATGTGTTATGTGGTTATTAATACAAAGTTTGGTTCTTACTGTGGGGAGATCATCTTAAACACAGGATGGTGAGAGGATCTGAGAGTCAGATGGATAGAAATTGGGGCTCACCCATGTAGGCAGTACCCTAATTGTACATAATCCCTTTATAACTAGAGATTGTCCCTCTTTTCATAAGAATTAGGGGTGTGGGAAAAAAACAGAAAACTTGTGCATGTTTCCCAATTCAGAATCTTTAAGGAGTAAATAAGCCATTTTTATTTCCCCACCCAGATATAGAAGTAACTTATAGGAGTCTAGAAATGTTTTTCCGCAAGTCCTCATCTCCTCAAGTATTTCTATATTCCTAAGATGTCAATTAGGCTTTCTTTTTGCTGTTAAAACAACATGATGGTAAATAGAATACATTGAAATTGTAGTGTGCTATTGTCGGAATCAATGTTTAATTTATCTGACATCAAGCAATGGGTGTTCGACATAAACACATTTTCTATATATTTGTAGCCTACTTCTTTAAGTGTCAAAATGTGTTTATTTTAGCCATTTTATTTGATGAAATTAACAAAAAAGTTGAACAGACTTAATGTCACATGTAGAATTGTCTTTACCAAGCACTGAATATACAGGCTTCTGTGTTATCAATGTTTCCTATCCTTAGGAAACATTCTTAAATGTTTCTTCTTCTTAAATATGCAAATGCTTTTATACAGAAACAACTGTACACTTAATATATATGGATATAAATGCAATGGGCCGGTGATGGCTTTCAAACCAATACCCTGATTAATTTTCCCGGATATTTTCATCATAGTACTCTTTTCCCCCAAACCTCTACTGGCTCCTGTAGTTTGACCATACTGTCTTTGTGTGTGTGTGTGTGTGTGTGTGTGTGTGTGTGTGTGTGTGTGTAAATATGATTTATTTGTCAGTACTTTTGTCAGCATTTTTGTCAGCAAACATTTCACTCCAGCCAAGTCAGTTTCCGCATAGTCTTAAGATTATTCCATGTCCCTTAACCTCTGTTCATGCTGTTTTTTGCTTTTTCCGGAACTTTGAGGAAGTTATTTATCTTTGTTCTTTTCTTAGCAGCTTGTTTCTTATGGTCTCAGTGAATGGTGTAATTGGATGTGTTTCCTTTGTGTTAGAAGGACTGAGACAGGTATACAAGAAGTCTGGGAAATGTAATTTTTAGCTTTCCATCAAACTATAGAGGAGCTAGAGGGGATGACTTTTTTGTCACGAGTCCTAGCCTTATATCTCTCCTTTTATTTCTTACTCTTACTTTTCTATTCACCAGGTTTCCTAAATTGGCTTTTTAAAATACTTGTTAAAGCACATGTATCTTTGTAAACCACCTAATCCTTTTGGGCCTTGTCATACTTATCTCTAGTATCAGGGAACTTAGACTAGGTGATCTCTAAGTTCCTTTTCAACTATAAGCTTCTGTTTATGTTCATTTATTTATTCCTTCATTAAAAAGTATTTGTTGAATGTCTGCTGTTTGGTTGATGTGATCAGCAATATGAGTTTCTACCCTCCGATAGTAAAATAATACATGTTCTTCATTATCCAGGTTATGTACTGCTTCATTTGTAAAGTGTTAGCTGACATTGTAGCCTTTATTATGTTGTCTTGGCCCCACAAATTCTTTTCTTACTTGTTAAAAAGTGTAGACATAGATTAACTTGTGTTTTGTTTAGGGTTTTGATTTTTTTGATTACCTAATGTAATTGCAAGTGCCTTGAAGAATGATACTTCTTTTATAAACATTTAATATAGTGACAGTCACATAGTAATTGTAAACATAATGATAACTAGTGTTCATTTATGAACACTAACTTTGAGGCAGGCATTGTTTTAAATGCTTTACGTATATCCATTCCTTTAATTCTTACAAAATGTTTATGAGATGGGATCTTTTTTCATCTCCATTTTTACACATGAAGTAAAACACACAAAGATTAAGTAAATTTCCTCAAGGTTATATTGCTAGTAAGTGAAGCTGGGGTATGAGCCCAGACAGTCAGATTTCAAAAACCCATGCACTTAACCCACTTTGCTATAATGTGTAATTATTATATACTTGCTGAATGAATGGAATGTTTTCATTTTTAATATATATTGGTTACAGTTTTGGTATCTATTTTCACTTTGGATAAAAGACTAAGGATATTTCACTTTGAGGAGAATACTTTTTAAACAAGGACAAATAACTTTCTTAGCAAACTAAATATAGTGAATGACTCCCACAATTAATAGTGAGTATTCAAATTATGTACTTACACCTTGAGGGATTTTAAATAATGTGTCTGTTTTTGAAAGAAAATTTTTGTGACATGTATAGTACTTACAGATGAGTTTTGATTTGTATTAAGTATCTTGATGATTATTTGTTGCTCATTTTCAGTTGAGTGGTGATTTTATGCAATGGCTTCAAGCCACAGTTCTTCACCAGTGCCTCAAGGAAGCAGCAGTGATGTTTTCTTTAAAAAAGAGGTAGACCCGACAAAACACATTCGACCTGTGCAGTCACTGCCAGATGTGTGTCCCAAGGAACCCACAGGTAATACCTTTTTTTCCGTTTTTTGAGGAATTTTATTGAGGATTTGTTTTATCTTTAAATGAAGTCAGATATCATATACTTAACTCAAAAGAGTAAATTTTACGATATGAAAACTAAAGACATAATTTGGAAATAAGTTGATTAAGAAATTGGAATATAGTTCTTTTCATACATTTCCATAAACGAAGTCACTTATATAAACTGAAAGAAAAGTTTTGAAAATGAGGGTACAGATTGAAAGCTCTTCAGTTAAACATAGTACAGTCAGTCCTCATTATTTGCCGATTCTATATTTGCAAATTTGCTTAATTCCTAAAATTTAGTTGTAACCCCTAAATCAATACTTGTGGCACATTTGTGGTCATTTGTAGACAAGCACAGAGGAGTGAAAAATTTGAATCGCCTGATATGCACGTTCCCACCTGCGGTTGAACTAAGCAACACTTTGCCTTCTTTCAGCTTTCATGCTGTAAACACATGTCCCTTTTGTGGTCTATTTAGTGCCACATTTTTTTGTATTTTTGTTGATGATTTTGCTGTTCAAAATGGTTTCCAAATGTTGTACTGAAGTGCTTTCTAGTGTTTCTAAGCACAGGAAGGCTATATTGTGTCTTATGAGGAAAATACATATGTTGCATAAGCTTCATTCAGGTTTGAGTTATAGTGGTGTTAGCCGTGAGTTCAATGTTAATGAATGAACAATATATATTAAATAAGATATCTTTAAACAGAAACACACACAAAACAAGATTATATATTGATTGGATGATGAAAGTTGCAAAGATTTGCAGGAACGTAACCCTGTATTTCCCATAGGAGCAAAGGTTCAGTATTTGCTTATTAAATGTTCCAGTGACTTTATAGAACAAAACTGTGAATAACGAGAACCGACTGTATATTTTTCTCTCCTCTATGGTTAATGTCACAGCAGCATTTTGGTTATCTAATTATAAGCTGAAAAAAAGGATATTGGAACCAGGTGTGTCTGCCATAAAACAATAGAAAAAAGGCCTACCTGTGGAAAAAACCTGGAGTATTAAAGGATAGAAGACATACAGTAGAAGGTAGAAGAGTTTTGATGTTGAAAAAAAGATAAATTGTACATTAAGGAAAGAAATTAATGAAAGACTTTCTTCCCCCCACACTTCAACTACGACCCTCAAATTCTGCATATCCTTTATCTTGTACATGTTTTTCCTCCTCTTGGCAGTTGATGCTGACAGCTGAAGCTTAAAGCATTTGCTATAGAAGGGAGAGTTTAGTTGCTTTGTATAATCTAAGCATTTTTATTTTTCTAGAATGTGCTTTCAAACATAAAACTTACTTTACAGAGTTCTCTTGTTTACTTTTTGCAGGTGATTCAAATAGTTTATGTGTTGCCCCATCTCTAGTTACAGATCAACATAGATGGACTATATATCATTCCAAAGTAAATCTCCCAGCAGCATTAAATGATCCTAGATTAGCAAAAAGAGAATCTGACTTCTTCACAAAAACATGGGGATTGGACTTTGTGGACACTGAAGTCATACCTTCATTCTACCTCCCACAGATCAGCAAGGAACATTTTACAGTATATCAACAGGAAATCTCTCAGGTAATATCTGATCTTGAAATTAGTTATAGTCAGGTTAAAAGTAAAAGAAATATTTCTAGTTTGATTTATTATAGATTTCTGACCAATAATCTTTGATGAGCCTATGGTATTCTTTTCTTTTCATATACATTCTATTGTCCTGGGTTGTATTTAATTCTTTGCTTAGATATATGTAAATATATTTCTCTTACAGTAGTGATTTTTCAGAATTATACATTCCTAATAGTTCTAAGAATCAATGTGAAACACACCAATAAGAAACAAACAACCCAATTAAAAATTGGGCACAGGACTTGCATAGACATTTCTCTGAAGGAGATATACAAATGACCAATAAGCACATGAAAAGATGGTCAACGTTACTAATGTTTCATTTTTTATTTTGTAATTACAAAAAAAGTTAATGTACAACAGTATGTTAGTTTCAGGTGTACTATATAATGATTTGACATTTGCATATGTTATGAAATGATCACCACAGTAAGTCAAGTAACTGTCTGTCCCCGTACAAAATTATTACAATATTATTGACAATATTCCTTATGCTGTGTATTACATCCCCATGACTTATTTATATTATAACTGGAGGCTTGTGCCTCTTAATCCCTTTCACCTATTTTGTCAACCCCCCAACTCCCCTCCTCTCTGACAACCATTTGTTTATTCTCTGTATCTGTGAGTCTGTTTTCCTTTTGCTTCGTTTGTTTGTTTGTTTTGTTTTATAGATTCCACATGTTAAGTTGGAGCATACAGTATCTTTGTCTGACTTATTTCACTTAGCATAATACCTTCGAGATCCATCGATGTTGCAGATAGCAAGATTTCATTTTTTTTTAATGGCTGAGTCATATTCCATTGTGTATATATACCACATCTTATTTAGCCATTCATCTATTGATAGACACTTAGGTTGTTTCCTTATCTTGGCTGTTGTAAATAATGCTGCAGTGAATATTGGTGTGCATATATCTTTTAGAATTAGTGTTTTTGTTTTCTTCAGGTAAATACCTAGAAGTGGAATTGCTGGATTCTATGGCAGTTCTATTTTTACTTTTTTGAGGAACCTCCATACTGTTTCCATAATGGCTGTACCAATTTATCTCAGCAACAGTTCACCAGGGTTCCCTTTTCTCCACCTTCTGACCAAGACTTTTAATTTGCTATTTGTTGTCTTTTTAGTAGCAGCCATTCTGACAGGTGTGAGGTGGTATCTCAACTGTGATTTTAATTTGCATTTCCCTGATAATTAGTGATCATCTTTTCATGTGTCTGTTGACCATCTGTATGTCTTCTTTGGAAAAATGTCTATTCAGGTCCTCTGCCCATTTTTGAATTGAGTTGTTTGTTTTTTTGATGTTGAGTTGTATGAGTTCTTTGTGTATTTTGGATATTAACCATTTATTGGTTATATTATTTGCAAATATCTTCTCCTATTTAGAAGGCTGCCTTTTGGTTTTATTGATAGTTTCTTTGCTGTGCAAAAGCTTTCTAGTTTGATGTAATCCCATTTGTTTATTTTTGCTTTTGTTCCCTTGCCTGAGGAGACAGATCCAAAAAAAAAAAAAATTTGCTAAGATCGATGTCAAAGAGGTTACTGCCTATATTTCTTCTAGGAGTTTTGTGGCCTCAGGTCTTACATTTAAGTCTCTAATCCATTTTGAGTTTATTTTTGTATATGGTATGAGAAAATAGTCCAGTTAGATTCTTTTGCATGTAGTTGTCCATTTTTCCCAGCACCACTTATTGAAGGGGCTCTTTTCCCTATTGTATATTTTTGCCTCCTTTGTCATAGATTATTTACCCATGTAAGCATGGGTTTATTTCTGGGCTCTCTATTCTGTTTCATTGATCTATGTGTCTGTTTTTGTGCCAGTACCATTTCTGTTTTGATTACTATAGCTTTATAGTATAGTTTGAAATCAGGGAGCATGACACTTCCAGCTTTGGTTTTCTTTCTCAAGATTGTTTTGGCTATTTGGGGTCTTTTGTGTTTCCATACAAATTTTAGAATTATTTGCTCTAGTTCTGTGAAAAATGCCATTGGTATTTTGCTAGGGATGGCACTGAATCTGTAGATCACCTTGGGTAGTATGGTCACTTTAACTATTAATTCTCCCAACCCATGAGTACAGTATACCTTTCCATTTGTTTGTGTCATCTTCAGTTTCTTTCATCAGTGCCTTATAGTTTCCCAAGTACAAGGCTTTTACCTCCTTGGTTAGATTTATTTCTAGGTATTTTATTCTTTTTGATGCAGTTGTAAATGGGATTGTTTTCTTCATTTCTCTTTCTGATGGTTCATTGTTAGTGTACAGAAACACAATAGACTCTGTTTATTAATTTTGTATCCTGTAATTTTACTGAATCATTTACTAGTTCTGATAGTTTCTTGGTAGCTTCTTTAGGGTTTTCTATATATAGTATCATGTATTCTGCCAATAGTGACAGTTTTACTTTTTCTTTTCCAGTTTGGATTTCTTTTATTTCTATTTCTTGTCTGATTGCTGTGGCTAGGACTTCCAGTATTATGTGGAATAGAAGTGGCGAGAATGGACATCCTTGTCTTGTTCCTGATCTTAAGGAAATGCTTTCAGCTTTTCACTGTTGAGTATGATGTTGGCTGTAGATTTGTCATATATGGCTTTATTATGTTGAGGTATTTTCCCATTATATCAACTTTGTTGATAGTTTTTCTCATAAATGTATGTTGAATTTTGTCAAAGCTTTTTCTGCATCTATTGAGATGATCATATGATTTTTATTCTTCAATTTGTTATTGTGGTCTATCATATTGATTGATTTGCGGATATTGATCCATCCTTGCACCCTTGGGTTAAATCCCACTTGATCATATTTTATGATCCTTTTAATGTATTATTGAATTCGGTTTGTTAATATTTTGTTGAGGATTCATGCATCTATGTTCATCAGGAGTACTGGCCTGTAATTTTCTTTTTTGTCGTGTCTTTGATTTTGATATCAAGGTAATGCTGGCTTTGTAGAATGAGTTTGGAAGCATCCCTTTTGGAGTAGTTTGAGAAGGATAGGTGTTAACTCTTCTTTAGATGTTTGACACAATTCACCTGTGAATCCATCTGGTCCTGGACTTTTGTATGTTGGGAGTTTTTTTTTTTTTAATTACTGATTTGATTTCATTACTGGTAATCAGTCTTTTCATATTTTCTGTTTCCTCCTGTTTCCGTTTTGAGAGATTGTATGTTTCTAGGAATTTATCCATTTCTTCTGGGTTGTCCACTTTGTTGGTGTATAATCGTTTGTAGTAATCTTTTATCCTTTGTATCTGTGGTGTCAGTTGTAACTTCTCTTTCATTTCCGATTTTATTTATTTGGGTCCTCTTTTTCTTGATGAGTCTGGCTACAGCTTTATCAATTTTATTTATCTTTTGAAATAACCAGCTCTTAGTTTCATTGATCTTTTCAGTTGTTTTTTAAGTCTCTGTTTTATTTATTTCCGCTCTGATCTTTATTATTTCTTGCCTTCTACTAAGTTTGGGTTTTGCTTTTTCTTCTTTTTCTAGTTACTTTTAGGTGGAAGTTTAGCTTATTTATTTGAGATTTTTCTGTTTACTGAGGTAGGCTTGTATTGCTATAAACTTCCCTCTTAGAATTGTTTTTACTGCATCTCATAGATCTTGGATTGTTATGTTTATGTTTTTATTTGTTTCTAGGTATTTCTTAAATTTCCTCTTTCATTTCTTCAGTGACCCATTGGTTGTCTAGTAGCATGTTGTTTGGACTCCACCTGTTTGCGTTTTTGAATTTTTTCTTCTTGGAGTTGATTTCTAGTCACATAGCCTTGTGGTTGGAAAAGATACTTGATATGATTTCAATCTTCTTAAATTTATTGAGACTTTTTAATAAATTTATTTAATTATTTTTGGCTGCATTGGGTCTTTGTTGCTGCATGTGGGCTTTGTCTAGTTGTGACGAGTGGAGGCTCCTCTTTGTTGCGGTGCAGTGGCTTCTCCTGCTGCCGAGCATGGGTTCTAGGCACACGGGCTTCAGTAGTTGTGGCACGTGAGCTCAGTACTTGTGGCTTGTGGGCTCTAGAGCGCAGGCTCAGTAGTTGTGGAACATGGGCTTAGTTGCTCCATGGCATGTGGGAATCTTCCTGAGCCAGGGCTTAAACCCATGTCCCCTGCATTGGCAGGCAGATGCTTAACCACTGCGCCACCAGGGTAGTCCCTTTTGAGACTTATTTTGTGGCCTAGCGTATGATCTGTCCTGGAGAATATTCCATGTGCATTTAAAATAATGCATATTTTGCTGCTTTTGGATGAAATGTTCTTTACATACCTGTTAGTTCCATCTGGTATAATGTGACATTTAAGACCATTGATTTTCTATCTGAATGACCTATCCAACCATGTAAGTGGGGTGTTAAAGTCCCCTACTTTTATTGTATAACCTTCAGTTTTTCTCATTAATATTTACTTTATGTATTTAGGTGCTCCTGTGTTGGGTGCATATGTATTTACAACTGTTATATCTTCTTCTTGGACTGATCCCTTGATCATTATGTAATGTCCTTCGTTGTCTCTTGTTACAGTCTTTGTGTTAAAGTCACTTTGTCTGATATAAGCATTGCTACCCAGCTTTTTTTTTCTTTTCTTTTCTTTTCTCTTCTTTTCTTTTTGGTTTCCATTTGCATGGAAAACCTTTTTCCATCCCTCACTTTCAGTCTGTGTGTGGCTAGGTCTGAAGTGAGTCTCTTGTAGGCAACATATATATGGGTTTTGTTTTTATATTCATTCAGTCACTCTATGTCTTTGGATTGGAGGATTTAGTCCATTTACTTTTAAAGTAATTATTGATAGGTATGTCCTTATTACCATATTGTTAATCGTTTTCTGGTGGTTTTTTTTGTTTTGTTTTGTTTTTTTGCGGTACGTGGGCCTCTCACCACTGTGGCCTCTCCTGTTGCGGAGCACAGGCTCCGGACGCGCAGGCTCAGGGGCCATGGCTCACAGGCCCAGCCACTCCGCGGTGTGTGGGATCCTCCCATACCGGGGCATGAACCCGTGTCCCCAGCATCGGCAGGTGGACTCTCAACCACTGTGCCACCAGGGAAGCCCCTTGTTTTTTTTGTAGGTTTTTTTTTCCCCCTCTTCTTTTGCTCTCTTCCCTTTTGATTTGATGACTATCTTTAGTGTTATGTTTGTTTGAGTTTTAGTTTTTTTTTCTGACATGGACCATTTTTTTTTAAAGTCTCTATTGAATTTGCCACAACACCGCCTCCGTTCTGTGCCTTGGCCCCTTGGCCACAGGCATGTGGGATCCCAGCCCCCCGACCAGGGATTGAACCTGAAGTCCCAACCACTGGACCACCAGGGAAGTCCCTAGTGTTATGTTTGGATTCCTTTCTCTTTTTTGTATGTGTATGTATTGCAGGTTTTTGGTTATCTTTGATTAGTTAGTGTGTATATATTTGTAGTTTTTGGTTACCATGAGTTTTAAATATCACACACACACATACACACACACACACACACACACACTGATTATTTTAAGTTGATGCTCTTAAGTTTGAACGTATTATAACCACCCTACATTTTTACACCCCACCCCCACGTTTAATGCTTTTGACGTCATATTTTACATATTATTGTTTTGTGTAACTCTTAACTACTTATTGTGGATATAGATGATTTTACTACTATTGTCTTTCAACCTTCCTACTAGCTTTATAAGAGGTTGATCTGCTACCTTTACTGTATATTTGCCTTTACCAGTGAGTTTTTTTAATACTTTTCTTTTTTTAATTTAAATTTTTAATTGAAGTATAGTTGATTTACAATATTATGTCAATTTCTGCTGTTCAGCAAAGCAATTCAGTTATACATATGTGTGTGTGTATATATGTGTGTGTATATATACATCCTTTTAAAAATGTTCTTTTCCATTATGGTTTATCATAGGATATGCTTTTCATATTTCTAGTTGTGGCCTTTTCTTTTCAACTTAGAGAAGTCCCTTTAATATTTCTTGTAAAGCTGGTTTAGTGGTGCAGGACTCTTAGCTTTTAGCTTTTGCTTGTCTGTTAAACTCTTTATCTCTCCTTCAGGTTTGTGATAACCTTGCTGGGTTGAGTGTTCTTGGCTGTAGGTTATTTCCTTTCATTATTTTGAGTGTATCCTGCCAATCCCTTCTGGCATGTAAAATTTCTGCTGAAAAGTCAGCTGATAGTCTTATGGGAGTTCCCTCATACATACTTAGTTGCTTTTCTCTTGCTGCTTTTATGATTCTGTATTTATAATCTTTTTTTTTTTTTTTTTTTTTTTTTACCATTTTCATTTTAATGTGTCTTGGTGTGGACCTCTTTGGGTCATCTTGCTTGGGACTCTCTGTGCTTCCTGGACCTGGATATACGTTTCTTTCCCCAGGTTAGGGAAGTTTCCAGCTATTATTTTTCCAAACAAGTTGTCTGCCATTTTTTTCTCTCTCTTCCCCTTCTGGGACCCCTATAATGTGAATGTTAGTATGCTTAATGTTGTCCCAGAGGTCTCAAACTACTTTTTTTTATTCTTTTTTCTGTTCAGCTTCTGTGATTCCCACTACTTCCTCTTCGAGACTGCTGAAGAGATCTGTATCATCTAATCTACTGTTGATTCCTTCTAGTTTCAGTTATTGTATTCTTCAGCTCTGTTTGGTTCTTTATATTTTCTAACTCTTTGTTGAAATTTTCACAGTTTTCATTCATTCTCCTCCTGAGTTTGGTGAGTATCTTTATTATTACCTTGACTTTTTAGTGGAGGTGATTGCTTATCTCCACTTGGTTTAGTTCTTTTTTTGAGGTTATGTCTTGTTCCTTTGTTTGGAACATATACCTCCATCTCCTTATTTTGCCCAATTCTCTGTGTTTATTTCTGTGTGTTAGGTCAGTTATATTTCCTGATCATGGAGAAGTGGTCTTAAGTAGGATATGTCCTGTGGGGCACAGCAACATGCTCCCCTCTGGTTACCAGAGCTATATCCTATAGGGGTAGCCCCTATGTGGGGCTGCATGTGCCCTACTTTGTGGGGGGGCCAACTACTGTGGGTACACTGGTAGGCATGGCTGGCCTCCAGCCTGATTGGCTTTGAGGCTGTGTCTCATGCAGCGGCCATGGGCCTTCTGGAGGGTGGGGCTGGGGCTCCATGTGGCTATCTGTTCAGCCTCGGGTGGGTTCAGGGCTGGTGCTGGCCTGCTGGTGGGCAGGGCTGGGTTCCTAGTGCTAATAGACTAGAGGGAGGATTCCAAAATGGTGCTCACCAGCACTGGTGTTATTGCAGTGCAACAAGCTCCCAAAATGGCTGCTCCCATCATCTCTATTCCCTGGAGAGGTCCCAGTTGCCTCCTGCCTCTTTCAGAGGCTCTCCAACATTGTCCAGTGGGTCTGCCCCAAGCTCCTTTCAAACAACTGCCTCTTGCTCGGACTCAGAGCATGTGAGATTTTGCATGCACCCTTTAAGAGCAGAGACTCTGTTTCCTATAGCTCTCCAGCTCTCCTGAACATAAGATCCACTAGTTTGCAAAGTCACACATGCTGGAGTCTCATCTTCCCAGCACAGGACCCTAGACTGGGGAGCCTGATGTGGGGCTCAGACCCCTTGCTCCTTGGGGAGGACCTCTATAATTGTGATATTTCTCCCATTTGTGGGCCCCTGACCCAGGCAAGTGGGTCATACCTCTACCCCTCCTACCTGTCTTGCTGTAGTTTCTTCTCTATGTCTTTAGCTGTGAAAAATCTTTTCTGCTATTCTTCAGGTTCTCATTGATAGTTGCTCTGTAAATAGTTATAATTTTGGTGTGTCTGTGGGAGGAGGTGAGTTCAAGGTCTTCCTACTCCACTATCTTGGCCACCTCCACTAATGGTTTTAACTGGTAAATTTTATGTTGTGTATATTTCACCACAAAAAATGGACAAGGGATCTGAACAGGCATTTCACCAAAGAAAAGATACAGATGGCTAGTAAGCATATGAAAAATTGCCTGACATCATATGTCTATAGGGAATTGCAAATTAAAACAAGGTGCCACTACACGTCCTTTAGAATGACGAAAATCCAAAATGCTGTCAAGACCAAATGCTGGCAAGGATGTGGCTAATAGGAACTCTTATTCATTGTGCACAGGAATGCAGAATAGTACAGCCACTTTGGAGACAGTCCTGTAGTTTCTGATAGAACTGCTCTCAGAATGCTGCAGGGCTAATACTATTAGCCCAGGGTTTTTTCCTTACCGCACTCCACTTTCCCGTATGTCCTGTGTATGGTATCTCAAAAGATAACAGTGTTGTTAGTGGTCATCTAATCTGAACTCAGAGTGGGGTTTCTTTCTGTCTTTCCTTTTTTCTTTTTGGACTCAGGAAGTATTAACTACTAATCTGTCTTTCGATCTTGGGTATATAGGTTTAAAATTTTCTTGCTTATTTTAAAAAATTATTTTCTTAATTGATTTCTGTTATAAAAATAAGGATTTTTTATTTGCTTTCCCACTTCATTCTAAGTTTATGGAGATTTTACTATAATTGTATAAGATGGGATGAGTATAAGTATATAGACATTCACACATCTCAGTGGTATTTGGTTTATTAAGCATACTTGTTACTTGTATTTAAGTTCAAGAGGCTAGTGATTTCATATTAGAAAAATTTAGAACTTATTTGGTATATTCTGATATTCTGTTTTGTTAAATATTTTAATGCTTTGAATACTCATATTGCCACACAGCATTGATCACATTATTTATTTGTCTTTTTATTAGAGAGAGAAGATTCATGAGAGATGCAAGAAAATTTGTCCTCCTAAAGATACCTTTGACAGGACTCTCTTACATACTCGTGGTATGAATATGTGCTCTTTGTAGCATAGCATAAATATTAATGAACAAAATCTTAATTTGGGGACCTTGTTGACTATCATATCTAATTTTTATTTCTAGTGAAATTTCTATAGCCTGCAATCATAATCTTTTCTAAAAGCTTTAAAGAGAAAAATCATGGATCTGATGGTAGTGTTATCCTTTAGTTCAACAAATAGTTATTTAATATTCAGGTGCTTTGTACTTTGCTTGTTGCCTAAAAATAAATGAATAAGAAATAGTCCCTGTCCTCAAGAAGCTGATGGTCTCCTGAGCAAGGTTAAACAAACCAACACTGTATATCAGGCAGTAAGTTCAGCATGGTAATATTGTAAAGAGTTCCTAACTTAGCTTTATAAAAACTAGAGTTGATGAGGATTGTCTGTGTTTTAAACTAACTATCAAGAAATATTTATGTGCAAAAAGGCATTTCAGGAAAGGGGACAGTCTATGCAAAGCTGTAGAGTCAAGAGGGAAATTAGCATGTTCTAGGACCTGCAAGAGTTCAGTATGCTGGCTCCACTGGGAGCAAGAAATGAGGCTGAAGAAGTAGGTAGGAGTCAGATCATGAAGAGCCTTGTATATCATGCTAAGACATTTTTCTTTTCTAAAAGCAGTATAGAGTTACAAAATATTTTAAACCAGACATCAGAGTTATGATTATATATTTCACTGTGAAAGAAGTTGTGGGTAGTAAATTTATAGATGATGATAAAACTGGAGGCAAGAATACAGTAGAAGCCTATTGCAGTAATACAAGTGAGAAATCATGTGTTCCTTATAGCAGTTATAATGAGGATAGAGAGGAAATTAGGTCTTTAAGAGATGCCTCAGAAATGGAGGCACAGGTTTTGGTGGTCAGTCGTTTGTTAGTAATGGAGCAAGATGATTCAAGGATGATTCCCACATTTCTTGCTTGGGCAGCTGGCTAGGTGAGAGAGGTAGTATTGGAGAAGGAAGTTTGGAGGAGATAGAGGCTGGTTTAATTGAAGTTTTGCATAGAAGGAGGAGTCTGATATGCAACCCAGAGCTCAGGAAAGAGATCTAGGCTGGAGATACAAGTATGATAGACATTATCATAGACAGTATGCTAGACGATAGCATGGTAGTTGAATCCAAGGGCACAGGTGGGATCACCCGGGAGGTTGTGAGTAGTAAGGAGAAGAGAACTGATGATAGAACACTAGGAGGCTGTCACATTTAAGAAGGAGTAGAAAATGTACCTGTGAAGGAGACTAAAAAGAAGTAGTCAGAGAGATAGGAGAGTCAACCAAGAGAGAGTTCCACCTTAGAGATGGAAGGTAGTTAGAATTTCAAAGAAGTGCGAATAATTAGCCTACAGTGTCAGAATACTTCAGGGATAGATCAGGTTTGCACTCTGAGAAATCTCTGTGGATTTGGCAATTTGGGAGATCTTAGGGAGAACATTTAGACTGGAGTAGTAGTTACAGAAATTTCAATACTATGTATGAAGGAGTGAGTACAAGAGTAGGAAGTGGAGACTGCCAATATGGATGTGACTTGAAGATTTGAAATGTTAAGGTATTGACTAGAGGGAACAGAATCCCTCTAGTTTGTTTCTACTAGCAGTTGTGCTAGAAGAATGTTTTTGCATGGCCAGGATTAGATGAGGCAAGAGAGGTATCTGCATAATACTGAGAGTGAGTGCTTCCTTAAATTTTGCACCTGAGGTTCTCCCTTGCCTCAACCTACTCTAGGCCCTGAGTTTTATCTTTCTTCTTCTTTTTCTTCTTTTTTAATCGAAGAGAACTGAGCATGTTTATATGCAGAGAGAAAAGAGCTATTAAAATGTTAAAGATATGGAGAGGCAGGGTAATTGATGCGAGCTCAGAGAAGAGGCAGGAGAGGATGGAGTCTGAGTACAGAAAGCTTAGTTTTGGAAAGGAGGGTACCTTGTCTGAAATCTGATTGGTGAGACGAAGATAAAGGAGGTTCATTTGCAAGAAGTTTGTAGAGGATACAAACTAAGATGTCTAAGAAGAAAACTACTACGGCATTAAAAATTTTTTTGATCATAGGAAGTACTGGATGGGATGGTGGATCTTTTGAACAATAAAAATAGCATTTCTATAAGATAGCACCAAGCTTTCTGTGTCCATTTAAAAAAGACTTGAATACATTTAGTTGTTTTATTGCTACTAAACAATTGATTAAAATTATTTGAAACATACTCACTGCTTTGCCTACTCCTAGGTATACAGAAGGTGTTTGATATTTGTTGAAGAAAGAAACTTAAATCGTTATTTAATTGTGACCTAGTATAGTATTGAATCTGTCAAAATATATTTTATGGAAATAAAATGAAAACAAGTTTTAAAAAATCATATTTTCCCTTTTCCTTTTTTAAAATAGATAAATCCAGGACAGATCTGGAGCAAGTACCTAAGGTAACAAAACCTAAAAAATGAGAATACAGCTTTTTAATATTTGATCTTTAATTTTGCCTTGTAAGAAGCTTTCACTGGGCTGTTTTCTGATGCTTTGACCACTTTGCCTCTTCTGGGACTTTCTTACTTTTCTTCTCTCTCTTTTGCATGATCAATCTCTTCTTTATCACCAAAACCTACAAATATGTTTACATCTTTTCATTTTAAAATATAATTTTATTGGTCTTATTACCCCTCCAAATTATTAGGGATATTTTCTTTGTATGAAGAATTTTGTAGAGATGTGTGATAGATGAGTGTTTTTTGTTTTTCTTTTTTTTTCTGGGGAAGGAGTCCATTGCATTCATCATATTCTCAAAGAGGTCTGTGATAATTGCTCTTTAGGGTGCGAAGAGACAGAAGGATGAAAGACAGAAACAAAAAGGAAAAGGCAGTCATTTTTAAAGTTCTTTGATTCCTACAAAATAAAATTCAAACTCTGTAATTTAAGGCCCTTAATTATTCACTTCCATCATAGGCACACTCTTAACTTTTGCCTACTAATCTTTACACATTCTTTACTTCAGCCAGACTTTTTTGCTGGCTCCATGCTTTACTTGCAGTGTTCCTTTAGCCTGGAAGACTTTTCTCTTATCTCCCCATATCTAATCCTTTACAGTTTTTGCTTAAATGACAACTTTACATGAATACATTTCCTCCAAATGAAGATCATTGGCCCCTTTGCCAAACTGCCATAGCATTTTATCTAGACCCCTGCCTTCCCTTTTAAGGCATTTGTCACTCTTTCCCTTATAAAATATTTATGTATATATTTTATCACATCCCTTGGGCTAAAGATCCTTGAGATTAGGACCTCTGGAATAATTTAGCTTTGTTTCCACCTTGGTGCCTAGCATAAGAGAAAATCATAGATAGTCAACATTTATTGAATTAATCAATACTTTCAGTTATACTAGAGGGGCTAGAAAATATACTCATGTCCTTAGTTAGATTTCCCTATCACATTCATACTAATTTTTGGATATGGGTCATATGAATCAGTGAATATAATAAAATATAACATAGAAATTAATTGATTAAACCATGTTTCAGGCCTTATGCTATGTGCTGGAATAGAAAGATTAATAATCTATAAATCCAGTCTTATAGGAACATATGGTCTGGGGGAGATATACATATTAAGTAAAAATATTTATGAAATATGAGATAAATAAGTATACATGGTATACTTGTGTTTAGAGATGGGGTTAAATAAATTTTGTGAAGTATGAGATAAATAAAACTCTTAATGCCATTCTAAGAGAGTTTCGTCTGTCAGTCATGAGAATCCATTGAGAGATTTAAAAAGAGAAGTTAATTCAGTTATAATTGCATTTTAAAGATATATAGAGGATAGATTAGGGAAGGACATCAGTAAATAGACATTTACTATAATCCAGAGATAATGAGGAGCTGCAGAAATACTGTGGAGATAGAGTAGAGAGAAGATTCAAGTGATAATGAGGAAATACTAAGGGTAGTACTTGGTGCGCAGATGGATGTGGTATACAAGGGAAAGGAGCAGTCTCTTCATAAAATTGAATTTGTTTTGGTTTTAAAATTTAGTGTATGTCTAATATAAAAAAGAAAGTTTGAAAGAATTTTGAGCAAGAGAAAATAGAATTATAAGTATAGAGATATTGATATTTGACATTTTTAAAAAACCACTATCAGTGGGAAATAATACAGAAATTTTAGGATAAGTATGATATCTCCCTTTTGTATGTGCCCAGTGGGACTGCATTCGTGAGTTTGACCAGGTAGTAATGGAATGACCATATCTGTTGGTAAAGGCAAAAAAACATTTTTCTATCTTTCATGAGCATTTTTAGCTTGATGAAACATTATTTATATATTTTTCTTCTACAGATTTTTGTATAAATAACTCAACTTATCACTTGCTTTTTCTGTATATGCCTGAGATTCAAGTTAATTATTGTTTAATGGTCTTATGATGTTAGAAGGGATAATGGATGCAAAGAAAATGTTTATCTAATTGAGGGAAATGCATTTTTTTAATAGATTTTTATGAAACCAGATTTTGCCTTGGACGATTCCTTAACTTTTAATTCAGTTTTACCATGGTCTCATTTTAATACTGCTGGTGGAAAAGGAAATCGTGATGCAGCTTCCTCAAAGTTGCTACAAGAAAAGGTAGTTTCTTTTTTACTTTTCCCATGTAGAAAACTATTTTAATTAAGTGGTACTGTTTGTGTGAGTTCAGAGTTAGTTATTTAGTAGGCACTAATTCCTTTAATTTCATCTTTATTGTTACTGATAATTAGAACCCTTCACATCTTAACTGATAAAGTAATAGCACTTTGTTTCAATGCAATATAAGTTGTGCTGTTGAAAAAGGAAAAGGTTATTGTTTGAGTGCTTCTTATCTGAAACAGCAGTTGATAGCAGTCTCAATTGAAAGGATGTATTAGATAACACAATTAATTGTTTTACATTTATTCCAAACTGTATATTGGCTAATTTTATATTCTTTATGACTTAAAGCACAGAAAATTAACTTTTCCTGAGGTACTATTTTTCCTCGTTTACACATAGTAATGATGATTATTTTGAAGCAAAAATAGCATAGTTAAAAAATGCAGTGTTCCTTTAGCTTTGCAAAGCTTTGCAAAGTGTAGCCTTTTGCGTGTTACTAGTCAGCAGTTTTTCAAAATTTTACAGTATTCTGTATTTCAGAAGTCAACATCTTGAAAGTCATTTAAAATGTAAAACTTTAAACATAACTCATAGATCAAGAATCTTTTAAAACTGGAATAGGAAGTAAAGACCTTTGATCTCTGTTCTTTCTTAGCATTCAGTTTAGAGCTTTCCTAAAACTGACTGTGGTTCCTAAACTGAGATGAAAGCATTTCGTTTTAGTCAGGCGACAGCTCTTGGCAGTCTGAAAGCTTGCCTCAGGTAGACTATTCAATAAGTTGGGTCCAGTCCTCAGCAACTGAAGAAAGGACTACTTAGGGAGGAGAGGAGAAGAAATGTGGGGAAAGAATCGTGAGTATTCCGTTTCTCACAGTTGAAAATGAAAATGAATTCACTTTTTTTTTTTTGGCAACATTTTCATCTATAAAGGTTTTCCTTGAGTAAGAATAAATTCACAAATCTTATGAAGACAATGGATATATAGACACAGACTCACTCCCAGACTACGTTTTCATATTCCCTGGTAGAATAATACCTTAAAAGAGAAAAACAACAAGAGCCAATAAAAATTTCACCAATCTATACAGATACTTTTAGGAATACTTTAAAAACTGTTCCCTTTATAGAATTTTACTAGGAAATGAATTATGAAAATATTATGCCTTTGAAAAGAATAGATCAATGGAGTATTGATAAACTGTGGAAATCTTTGAAATTCAAATGAAACAATTTTCTCATGCTAAATGTTTAAAGTGACTAAAGTAATGGAAATTTTTTTTTTGGTAAGTTGCAGAATCAGCTTTATTACATTTACATTTTGTCTCCTCATTCTGCTCTGTTCTTAGAAAAGGAATGGAAGACAGGATTCCAAGACAGGATTCAAACTCACTGTATGATGGACAGCACCCATTTTATCTTGCTAGTTTTAAAGAGGGGATGCTACAACCAGGATTAGGGAAATTTTTGTCCTATTGTAGTACTGCTACCCAAAGTGCTGGTCTGCGATGAGACAATGAGTTTGCTCTAGAACGTAAATCATTTCACTGCTTCCTTCATTAAGAAAGTCTTTCTATGAAAAAGCAATACCGTGGGCTTAGTGATGTAGTTGATTTAATATCCAGCAGAGTTCCTCATTTCATCATGGACCTGTTAAACAGTTCACAAACTGGCAGCAGCATATAAACTGCATTCTGAGTACCCCTGTCCTACAGGAGTTACTTTTTCTCCATTTTCTGAAGATTGAGTCTACTTTAGCTTGTGATGTACCTAAGTACCTTCATCCCCATATTGATTTTTAGGTAAATAAATGAACAGCTGTTGAAGGTAAAAAGAAAAACAGCAAAAGAGTATAAATGCAACAGATTTAAACTATAGAAGAATGTCTTGTTTGTAACCTATTATATATTATAATAGATTATTGAAGGAGCTGTATTGAAGATATGCATGATCCTGCATGGTTTTAATGAGACAGGCTTGGTGACCAAATAATCCTCTAATTTTATGAGTCCTGAATGTTGAAAGCCCATTAACCCTTTAACACTACAAATTCTTCTGAGATGTTCAGAGATAATTCTTAAAGTTTGAGCTATAGGTTGAAGAATCTAGAAGTAAAAAAGTGGGAGAGAAATGGAAAAATAATATAGCCAAAGAAGGCATATGCAGTTTTAAAGGAAGAAAAGACAACTCAAGTTTTAGAAGTCCATATTTGAAATTAGAAAGCATTCTTAATACATGTTACTCCAGGAATTAATTTTGGTAGTATTACAAATAAGATATATATGAACTAATTGTTTCAGTCAACTGTTTAAGAGGAAAACGCATTGGAAATAAACTGAGTTTTATAAATTGATAAAAGAATAATTGTTGAAATGTGAAATTAACAGCTTAAAAAAGAAAGATCCAGGCGAATTCTAGTACTCTCTGTAATTTGTGGCTGGATCACCAATCTGTCTTTCATGAATTCTCTAACGTTTTGAGGCAGCATGGTACAGTAGAAAGAACTTCAGTTTTTGAGTTAGACAAACCTGGGTTCAAATTTCAGTTTTTTTACTTATTAATCATATGACTTTATTCAAGTTATTTAATGTTTCTGAGCCTCATTGTCCTCAACTGTAAAATAAAATAATAATAATACCTGTATTCCAAGATTGTTAAAATTAGAAGATGATATATATAAAATACCACTGCCTGGTACATAGAAAGCCAGTAAATGGTAACTATAATCATCTTTCAGTCAGATAAATGATACATTATATTGGTGATGGCAGTGATGTGTGGAGGTTAAGGAACTCAATCATTCTCTCTCAGATCTTGGAACTTGTAAAACTAGATTATAATCTGAGATGACTGTGGGCTACTTTTACTCTCTAGAAAGTAGTTGGTGTTTGGAGGACAGTAATGGCAGTAGCAGAGGAAGAAGGTAAATCACCTTCTATGCTTTTGTCTTACATTTATTAATTTTGGGCTCTACCTTTCATCTCCCTTCTATTTTGTATGCCTAGTATCAAGCATCACATAATCAAACAGTTCACACAATGGGATTTAAAATGCATGTAGAAATATTGTATCGTTTTCAGAAAGTATTTGGGCAGTTAAGGTATACTTATAATATGCTGTGATTTTTTTTTCTTTTCCTTTCCTCTTAAGCTGAGCCATTATCTGGATATTGTGGAAGTAAACATTGCTCACCAGATCTCTCTACGTTCAGAAGCATTTTTTCATGCAATGACCTCTCAACACGAATTGCAGGACTACCTCAAGAAAACTTCCCAGGCTGTAAAAATGCTTCGAGATAAAATTGCACAGATTGATAAAGTAATGTGTGAAGGATCACTACACATTTTAAGACTGGCACTTACCAGAAATAATTGTGTTAAAGTATACAATAAACTGAAATTAATGGCCACTGTACACCAGACTCAGCCTACAGTACAGGTGTTGTTATCTACTTCTGAATTTGTCGGAGCATTGGACTTAATAGCAACAACGCAAGAGGTTCTACAGCAGGAACTTCAGGGCATTCACAGCTTCCGGTATGTCCATTAAGTAAGCCATTAGAAATAATGTTAGAACTTTCTAAAGGATAAATTTTAGTGTGTAATGTTAGCTGAAAATCTATGAATGTGTTAGAGTTACAAGGGTATTTTTTTCTTCCAGATTGATCTGTTTAATAATGTTATCATTCTGATATTTTAGTCTTACTAAAACAAACAAAAATCATAAGGACCAATATTTACAGAGACATTTGGATAAAGAAGTAAAATTAAATTTTCTAGTAGATGAAATCAACGAAGGGCCAGTCACAGCTTTGAAAATTATATTTTGAAAATGTTGAAGTAGTTTTGTGTCAAGATAATAGATAAAGGTGGAAAAAGGAATACTAGTATGGCTGAAATTAAGTTTATTTTAAAAGCCATTGAATAAGTTTTAAATTAGATAATTATTAAAATTCATTTCTCATTTACAGTCTATCACATTGCAAAAAATCCCACACGATGATGGAAAAGACCCAATTTCTTCTAAGTTTTTATTTTGAAAATACCTTTAAGATTAGGGTTTTAGTTATTTTATGTGAGATCATGTCATATGTTTAATTTACAGATTACACCAATTGTAAGCCATCAAAATTTCATTCAGTTAAGCAGGCTTGCAGTTTCCTTGTTGAAGTTCCTATCTGCTGGGAAACCTTATACTACTGAGTGACTACAAAGAAGTTTTATGGAAGACGTGCTCTGTAACTTAATATATTCTGGAAAGGTTATCTTTAATATAAGTTTATTTTAATTGAATTATAAGTTCTTATTGACTAAGGATATGTAATTGGAATATTTATTTTGAAAGCACTTTTAAAAAGTTGGCCCAATTTTAATTATGCAAGTGAATGATTGATTCATTTATTCAAGAAATGGTTATTGATTACATGACAGACACCAGGCAGAATACTGGGTATATAGCCATGAACAAAGCAGAGATGCTTTCTGCTCTGTTTCTACAATTTATTTGATAGGAGGGAGACAGAAATTACTGGGTAGTTATTATACAGTACAGTACAGTATGATGATGAAGTACAGATTGCTATGGAGCCTAACCTTAGGGGAAGAACCTTATCCAGACTTGGATGTTTACAGAAAAAGTTTGGATCACAAACCTCTTTGAGAATCTGTTGAAAGCTGTGGATGGACCTTCTTTCCATAAAAATATACCTGTACATAAAATTTTGCAATTAATTTTGGGTGGTTCGTAGTCCTTTGAAGCCTACTTTGGATTTCTCAGCATGGAACCCAGGGTGACTAAATGATTTTTAGTTTCCCCTTTACCTCTGAAAATTTAAATATTTCTCTTTTTTGAATGTGTATATGGCATATATTTTTAAAATAAATAATATTAATTTTGTCAGTATTTTAGCACAATGGACTTCTGTAATGACAGAAGCTGTGTTTTTTCTTGTCACCACTATATTATACGAATTTGATGAATATTGGGAGCTGCTTCTAGAAAGTAGAGTGCTTTATCCTCTGAATAGAGCAATAGAAGCAAAGATTAAATGCTTGCCTGCTAAACACAAATTCTGAAACTGTTCTCATTTTTACTCCAAAGGTCATGCAGTTTATTTTATTTCATTTTCCTGACTCATAAGTTTATGCCTAATAATACTGATGAAAAGTTTAGTTCTCCAAAGCTATCTGGAAAATATTTAAGAACAGGGTTGGATATTTATTCCCAGTAGATTATGATTTATCAGAAGGCAGAATGAAAATTTTATAATCTTTTAATTATCTTGAGCTCAAGAAAGAGTTTACCTTTATTTTCATCCTTACTTTTTTGGTTTGTACCTTAACTCAAAGGACAAAATATTCTTCATAAAAAAGTGTATATGATTTTTTAAAAGACTTTCAAATATTCTGATTATCTATGTTTTGTTTTTTTGTTTTTCTTTGTTGTTTTTTTTTTGCGGTATGTGGGCCTCTCACTGTTGTGGCCTCTCCCGTCGCGGAGCACAGGCTCCAGACGCGCAGGCTCAGCGGCCATGGCTCACGGGCCCAGCCGCTCCGCGGCATGTGGGATCTTCCCGGACCGGGGCACGAACCTGCGTCCCCTGCATCGGCAGGCGGACTCTCAACCTCTGCGCCACCAGGGAAGCCCCTGATTATCTATGTTTTACTCAAATATCTACTATTATTTTTTTTAGAACCTGCACATTTGTAAAGAGTGTTTATTCTTCATGTAAAATATATATGAAAATATATTTGATATCTTGCAGGTTTCGTATAGAAAAGATTCAGTTACCTTGAAATTCAGGGATATAATGTTGTTATTTTCTGTTTCTTACTGTAAAGGTTTATGTAGAAACTTCAGTTTTCACCACTGTTAATTTTTTTTTCTTTATTACTTACTACCACCATTACTCTACTACTGCCACCACTACAAAACCTAAGAACGTTTTTTGAATACTTTGGTATTCTGTACCAGTGCTAAGAATATTGCATATATTATTTGATCCCCCTCCCCACTCCAAAAAAACCCTTCTATGAGATAGTTTTATCCCCATTTTAATAGATAAGGAAACTGGAGCGTTGAAAATCTTAGATAACTTGCTCCAAGTCATACAGCAAGTTATAAAACAGTAGAGTCAAGATTCAACCCAGATCTCATCGGACCCAAGAGTTATGTGTACTTTTTAATATATTTGATTGAGGTTTTGTAGGACCTCAAATAGATCACTCTGAACATCAGTGCTAATTTTCTAGTGCAATAGATGTTAAACTGTGGGCAACTGAGTTAGAGGTTTGCTGAGCTAGGAATCTACCATAGTAATAGATTTTAGGATAAAAATTAATGAAACTAGTTTTTCTACTCGTACGTCGTCATCTCCTCCTCCCCTCCTCCCC